GTCTTATCCTTGGCATTTCGCCGCCGGTGGAAAAGTTCCAGCAAGCGGCGCGGCTTCACGGCGGCTCGGCCGCAGCCGCCGCGCTCCGGAGAGGCACTTGCGGGAATTGCCCTCGTGGAAACCCGTTCTCCCCAGCGGCCGCCTCCGCGCCTCTCCCCGCTCCACCTCTTCTATAGGCTGTGGTTGCGTATATTAAAAAAAAAAAAAAAAAAAAAAAAAAAGAGAGAGAGAGAGAGTTAAAAAAAAGGCGTATGGAAGTGCTGAAAGAAAGTTTAAGGTTTGGGCTGTGCGGGGTGCCGGCGGCGCCCTCCGCCCTGGCTGCCCGCAGTGCTGCCGCCAGAAACAGGACATGGCAAGACCGATCGCAAGACCAGCACGCGCAGGGCCGAGGGCTGTTGGTTTCCTTTCTTGGTCAGAAGCAAAGTAGGGGCTTTTCTTTGCTTTTTCTCCACACTTGGGGATTCCTGGGTGTTCCCTCCTGTCCCCCCCAACTTCAGCATGGAGAAAAGACATAGCATACATTGAAAAAACAACTTACTGAAATCTGCTGGACCATTAAATACTCTCTAGCACAATTAAATAGCAGGAGAGAAGAGGAGGATTAGCAACACTTGCATTCTGCAGGATTTAAAACGCAAGTGGCAAGCTCACTGGAGAACATGCCCATTAGCTTTAAGGAGCTATAATTTGATTAACTCTAATTTTTGTGATGCTGAAATGCAATGAGGAATAATCTGAAATGAACAGTTCTGAAGTCTAAAAGCATCAATTCCCTCCCTTCACATGATAAACATGCCTTGCACCTCAGCACTGTTCTGGACTTTGCATGCATGCAGTCTTGCTCACACAGGCTAAATAGATTATTAATTGAGAAGGGTCTCATACACACTAAGAGCCATATTTGTGTACTCAAAGTCTATACATTCACTTAAAACTGGAGTGGATAAGAGTAGTGTGATGTTATCCTAGCCCATGGCAGCATGCATCAGGCTGTTTCCTGATGAGAAAAAAAACAACAGCTCTGGAGACAAATACCGTTTTGCAAGTGCCAGTGCTCAAGCATTTAATTTCATTTCGTGCAAACTGTAAACTTTTAAAACTCACAGAGAGCTTCTCCAAATTCAGAGCAAAGCAGGAATAATCCCTCTCTCCCAATAAACTGGGAAAGACAGGCAGTCCTGGCATTCAGCACCATATGGCTTGACTCAAGGGATCACAAACTGTAGCCTGTGGAACAGCTTCTTGTCGTGGTGGCGAAGCATCTGTCAGCCTTCAAGTAGTTACGCTTCCTGCCTTTGGAAGACGCAGACAGACTCCTAGCTTTCCAAATTGTTTTTCCTTCATTTTAAGGGTTAGCAAACAAATGTGATAACCAAGCCATTAGTCATTCCAAAGAGGATGGAGCAGATGAAACATCAGGGAGGACTTTTCACTAAACCATGAAGACCTATGCGCAAGGAGAAAGCGAGTGACGGGGATATAAGAAGGAGAGAATGTAAGCACATTGTGGCACTTCGTGCATTGAAGTGAAGTTTAGTCTCTGTGTTTCCCTGTAGCTGCTTCTCACAGTGACCAATAATTGCCACAGAGGAAAAAACAGGATTGGAAAGTTAGGAGAGAAGTAAACATTTTGAAATAAGAATCCTAATAAGAATTAAGATAAGAATTGTAATAAGAATTAGACATAGTAGAGGAACTGAGAACCACGACCTTGATAAGTCTCAAAAATATAAATAATAGCTGGATCCTGTATACCTCAAACAATCAATTATGTTTATGTTGGTGTTACACAAAGATAATGTATAACTAGTGCAGCTGAAGGAATGGCTGAGTCATACTTCAGAGCCACTGAAGTGCTGCAAAGGGAAGACAGCGTCCTGCTAACTAGAAGACTAGTCAGTCAACTGGGGAGACTGCAGAAACATGTTACCCAACTAGTCCTAGAAGGATTATTTCTGAAACTATGCAGTTTGATAGACATACAACCCCCTATTTTAAATGCGCCAACACCTTTTTCTTTAAGCAGTAATGCCTTTAAAATTATGATTAAACATTTAGGGTCCGGTCTTACAAATCCTTCTTCAATGGGACTATTTCCATGAATTAATCTTATTGAAGGATTACTTGTATGAGAGGATTTGCAGGCTTATATACTTAGTAATTAAAACTATTAGTGGAAGCGAGTTTATATTCTTTTGCATGCTAATGTTATAATAAATAAAGTAGCACTGATGTCTGCACAGACTTTTACATTTTGAAGAAAATATGATGAGTGATGGTAGTGTGATTTATCTTGAAAAAACGGGTAGTGGTCTCTTCCTTCCTTGTTTTATGCTCGATTTGAAGACAATTTAAATAGGATTAAGTTACTTACTAAGAAATAGGCTATAAAGAGAAGTCACACATTGAGCTGACTCAGAAGACTGCTGGTGGTATAGGCTGTCAGATGTATGGTTAAGGCACTTATCTTTAGCAACGAGTTATATGTACAATGTCTTAGAAACTTGAATATTAGGTCTTGGATCTCAGTTTGACTTTTTACACCTGAATGTGTATTGCTGATAGCTAACTGACCTTTCTAGGTAGTCGTATTCATAGAATATTTCTGTGACCTAAGTGGCAGTCTCTGTGTAAATTATTATGGATGTAGTCGTAAAAAAAAAAAAGAACTGAAGAGGGTAAGAATTGCCAGTTCCCATCTCATCCTGACAGGCTTAATTGGGAGTGTAAAATATGTATCTGATATATTTGTGTGAGCTTACTGGGAAATAGTAAGCTTTGATCTCTACTGTTTCCCTCCAAATTATGTAAGAAAAAGACTACTAGGCATTAGAAGACATTTGAAATTCCTGGTAGGCATTTGCTGCTTGTCAGATAGAGAGAATCTGTAGGAGCATTTCTGGCTGTTACATTGAGTAACAGACTAAAATCTTTTTTTCCCTTTTCTTTGGTTTTGATTCTGATTATGGGAGACCAGTTGGAGGAATGGGCTGGTTTTTATATGGCCTGTTTGGTGATTTCTTTGCCTGCTTGTACAGTGTGTCTGCAAGCTTTTATGCCAGTGCTCTATGGCAGTTGACTTTGTATTGTAGACTGAGGTCTCTACCCAGTCTGGTTCTCGATCTGATTCGGCTGCCAAACTGAAATGTAGGGCTGCCCCTCAGTGCAGAGCATTTGAGTTGTTCAGGTGCATGCAGTTTCTGCAAGCTAACAGTGCCATTCTCCAAGTTTTGTTTTGCAACTTAATGGTATGCTGGCTCATGTAATCGCCATATTGTACAAAAGTTAAGAGTTGGCAAGACACAGCCCTTGGCTTAGGGTGGGCAATGCTCAGTATGCGATATGTAAACACAACACCCATTTATTTGAAACAAGGCAGGAAAAATCTCTTTACGCAATTCCATTTGAGTGGTGTGGGAGCTGACAGATGAAAACGAAAGCATTTGCTGTCTCCCTGGTTTTTGGTATGCCAAAGCTGAGATTAGTCAGCCTTTAAACATACAGCTTTCCTGAGCACTTGTAGAAAAAGGAGATGGACCAATACAAGGTGAGTGGCAAGGGAAAGTGCTCCTCTTTATTTTGGTTGAATTTGGTTATTTGGGCTGTGTATTGAATCATATTTAAACTTGCAAAATTGATGTTAACAGATACTATTGATGCTGAATTAGCTGACTGCTGGGAGCAGATAAAATGTAGCTGTTTTCTGTTGAAAGATTTTAGTTTTTACCAAATATAAATAGTATCATAGATTTATTAGTATGATGATGAAAAATGAAAATACACTATAGTTGCAAACTACTCAGAGAAAGCAAAAATAGTGTTAAGTATTTTATTTGATTAAAACTAGTACCTGAGGTTAATGAAAGTAGATACGTTATTGGAGTTATTATTCCTATTGTATATCTAAATAAATAAGTTCAGGAGTTCAGATTGATGAACACATTACATCACAACAACACAGGAAATAAATTATCTTCTAATTTCCTGTTGTTACTCAATAATCACTGGGTGAAGGATTGACTGCTTTTTGTGTAAACAGTATTTAAACTATACAAGGTAGATAGATGGGATAACCATTTTAAATCTGATTAGTAATTTTCTGCTCTCTCTCTGTATATATTTATATTTGCACTATCTTTGCTTTGTGGAGCAGACTGATGGTTAAACAAAAGGCTATAATAGAAATATTGCCTTTTTGTAAGTGCCTCTGCATCAGGTTGAAAAGATATCACTACAAGTATTCCCCAAAGTAGACCCTTGCAGTTCTCACTGCTTGCACTGTGCTTTGGAGAACATGATTTTGAAAAGTGGGTAAGTCTGTAGCCTCTGGCTATTCCATCATCACTAGAAGCAATAGCAGAAGTGAGACAAAGTGGTGCAGGCTCAATGCAGGCTCCCTTGCAAAGGTTCAGTACTATCCGTGGAAAATGGACATGGACTTGGGAAGCTCCTGGAAGGATCTCTTAAGCAGATCCACTTCAGACTTACCTTCCATCCCTCTAGCCCTTCACTGCTCTTAAACAGAACTTGTAAGTATGAAGGAACTGCAGGATTTGATTATTTGTCTTTTGCTCCACTTTTGTTGCAAAACCTGTTGGCTGGAGAAGATCAGGTTCAGGAATGATCCAAGATCATGATCATGTTAAGCCAAGCCTCCTGAGCTACCTCCTTTTGCCTTTGGGATTTGGAGCCTGCATTATTCCCCATATGAATACCCCATTATTCATGGGGTATTTCTTAGTATTTCATTGAAGAGTTTCTAATCTGGCTGGGTATCTTGTTATTCCCCCTGCCCTCTTGGCTTCTCACTGATTTTGCACAGCAGGGGCAGAAAGTCAGAGGGGAGTGTGTGTGTCAGCAGCCCTGGGGCTGCACTGCAGACCTCATGCCAGACTGATGTTTACCAGAGCTTGTGGGTTTAGGGTAGGCTATGACAGGAAAGGGAACGTATAGTTTACAGTGATTATCTCAGGATTTGCAAGTCACATTGATCCAGTCCATCTAGAAAAGGCTAATCTCTAATAATTCACCTGAGCCTGGGTGCCTAGTGGTTAAATCACTCCAGTCTGTTTTGCTGAAGCTGTTCTGCTTTGTGTACGTAATTATTCATTGTGTCACATCAATGTAAACTTTGAGTCTAAAGAGTCAAATCTGCACTGGGTACGCAAAGGTTGAGATTTTAACTGTTTAGGGTAAAGTCAGACTTCAAGATTGGCTGAATGTCTGGGCTTATTTGTTGAGTCTTGAGTGTGATTGATATATGAAGTAGTAAGGAGGGGGGATTACTTGGCAACCACAAATCCTAATTCACAGTTTGCAAATTTTGGCAACCTCTGAACTTCCATTCAGAAAGATTTAGGAGTCTACAACTCAAAGTTTGAACACATCGGTCTGCCAGTCCCATCTATCTGTGTAACTTGATGTTTCAAAGTGTGACTATTGCATGTGACTGAAGCTAACTTCAGTGCAGTAGCGTTAGCTGTTTCAAACTTTCATCTAGTGACTTAAATGAGACATTCAGCTACTGCCTTTCTTCGTTCTGCTGCCATCAGCTCCAGGGACATCAACTCACTGAGTGTTAGGCCAGGTATAAGCTTGCCCTGGTTCTCTTCGCCATCTGTAGAAATAACTTAAAAAGGTTTTAGAAGTACCTCCAGTACTAAAGGTTTTGGAAGTACCTCTAGTTTGACTTGAGAAGTACCTTAAGTTATATAAGCAGCCTAGCCTGGATCCTTCTCTTGTGTGCAGAAGGATCCAAATTTTGCATTTGCTTTGACTGGAATACAGTCTGATACCTGGTACAGGCAAAGTTGCATGTTCTGAGAGGCTTCTATAGTGGCTCCCCTTCTAAACGAGGAACACTTTTTATCTTGCAAGTAATGAAAGTTGGCAAGGAATCCAAGTATCCAAGCCCAGTCTGCAGTTACGTATAGAGTGCAGAAACACTTTGTGCAAAAACAGCTGTATTGTATATATGAAGAATTTATTTGGATGTCAGCCTGTGTTTGTGCCCAAACCTACATGCAGTGAAAGTCCTAAGCATGGTCTGCAAGCTCTCTGCCACACAGAGTTGAAAGTCTCTACGTAGTGAGGGCACAGCTGAGCTGTGGGAATGCCCTGCTTGAAATGAGAAGAGCACATGATGAGAAGTGTGCTCCAGCTGCATGCATTTCCTTTATAGTAGAGACATAATCTGCGTGAGAATTGACATTATGCTTTATCATGAAAGAAGTAAGGGGAAGGATAAATGAGTATTTTACCACAGTAGAATTTCCTCAGTATAAAGCTTTATTTGAGTCCAGTACATGATATTTTTAAACTCTCTGCTGATACGATTCTTTGGGTATTTGCATTCTTTCTTGTGAAATTGAAAATTCAGTGTCAGGTAAAATTAATGACTCATTTTCTGAGGAAGAGCCTAATAATTTTCAACTATTTCTTTTTGAAAGGGGCTGTATGTTGATACCTGAAAGGTAAATACATTTTGTTTTAATTCAGAAGTATAATACTTTATTGTACAGTGTTCATTTGGTAGCAGCGACCAAAATACATCATTCATTCATGATTAGAGCATGATACATCATCTCTGGGTGGATTCTTAGGTTTATTTAGTAGCACGTGATCTCTAATTACTTAAAAGAAATGTTATTCTGGCAATTATAAGTCAGACCATAAAACTAAACTGTGCATGTCTTGACAGTCTGTTTCCCTTCAAAACAGAAAATGAACCCTGTGCAAATCATGCAATAATTTGCTATGTAACAATTCCTCCTGGTCAAAGAATGAACTTAATATGGCTGCAGTATGTACAGAAAGCTCATAGTATTGCACCGACATACAAGGTTCATTGTTACAAAACATGATTTTGAGAAGTGCCTGTAAATGTAGAGGCTTTAGGTGTAGATATTTGTTCCTCCATTTTATGATGATCAAAAAATTCTCTGGAATTCTCTGGTAGTTTATGGAGATGTCATAATTGTGTATTCAATGGAAGTAGAATATCAAGATACTGACTTCTATGGTGTAACTGCCATTGTGGACCAAAGTAAGACAGTGAGGAATCAGACATATGCATTTAATCTAATAACATGTTATATAAAATTTGAAATAATTAACTAAATGAAGTCTTAGAAATTTAAGGAGGTTGAATTTAAGCATGTTAATAGTTTATCAAAGAAAGTCTTAAGGTCCAAGTCTTAGAATCTTCTGCCTCCATTTGCTAGGTGTTAAATGAACTTTGCAAAATTTGTGTAGTTTACATTCAATGACAACTGTACAGTGCTGTTTATTATGTCTTTAAATTGCTATAGACCTGGCTTGCAGTTATTGCTTGAAATTAATCATGTTGGATTTTTTTTTTTTAACTACTTTGAGTCATACAGGAATAGGAACGTTAGTCAGCCAAATGAATTTAGGAAGCTTGTATAACTCTGCCTGGCACCCTCTTTCGTTTGGATTAAAAAATGTGTTCCTGAATAAACAGAGATTTCTAGTGGTTATTTTAAAAAGGAAAAATATCTCCAATATTCATGGTTGCTGTCTTTTTTTTTTTTTTTCCAAATAGCTATGGTTCTTCAATGTGTAGATTGCAGAACTCTTCCATTCTTCTAATAGTAAAAATTCTCACTACTTCATTTGAGACAAGTCTAAGTGCTTCAACTGTGTAGTGTATTCTTATTTTCAAGGAAAGATGAGCCTTATTTTTAAACAGTAAGTTTAAATACTGTCACTGAAGCTGCTTTGATCTTATGTGTTGTAATCCTTGACAAAGAATGTACCTTAGATCTTACCTGCCTGTCATTAAATCCTTTAAAAATTATGGCCATAATCTGTCTCAGTTTGTTTTCATGAATTTCTTCAATACTTATTCCTTTAATAGTGTAAAGCTGGACACTGAAAACCCTCTTCTCATGCTACTAAAATATCTAAGATATTTGCTGCTTTTTAGAATTACAGTAAGACTAGATTTACCATTGTCCAACTGGCTGGTGTCCATAATCCTCCATCATTTTCTTTTTTCTGATTCAGTTGCAGGAAGACATTTTTCTGTCATATTTGTTACCAAAATTTTTGGGTTTTTTTTGTCTCCATATCCAAAGATAAATCTGAAGATATTTCTTCATTTTTATGATTTCTCTCTCTCCTCATTCAGACAGAAAAGTCATTAACTTACTCCAACTATAGTACCTTGATTTCCCTGTTCACCTTTCCTGGCATCTGTTACATTTAGGTTAGGATCATCACTTTCAGCAATAAAGCATCCAAAATAGTTTTATTTTTGCATATTTCGATTCTAATATTTATTTCTCTTTAATATTTTATACATTTTGGAGTAATCTGTCCAGTGTTTTTTTTTTTTTAATTTCACATAATATTCTTAAGGCCCACATCAAATATGAATCCTCTTATAAACATCTATTTAGAGCATTTTGTTTTGCTCATAAAAATTAAAATCTCACAATTAGAATTAATCAACCATTTTGTGCAATATGTTTAATTCTATTATCACACTCATATTGTTTATGACTGTTTTGAAGTTCCCACTGAAATGCTGGTCTCCCAGTTCTAGAAGTAACAATACTTTTCATTCAGTAATAATTATTGCAGAATTTTCTTGTAATTTTTGAAGAGTCAGCTACTTACTAAGATCAAAGGGGAGTCTTTTATCATTAATTGTTGTTGCTTTGTGCTATATCTCATGTATAGCTTTGCTAAATGACCATTTTACAAATATCCAATTCAGTGTTTTCATTTGGTCCTTAAATCCACTGAAGTGAATTTATGGTCTTTATAAACCTTGCTTTCATCTCCTTCTCATCTTTTCTTTCTCTCTCTTTTTTTCTCTGAAAGAGGTTCTGGTAATCTACTGGTCATTAGCAAGTAATACCAGATTGTCTAGTTCTTTTGGCCATTTCACACCATAGTAGAATGCTGTTGACATTTACAAATGGCTTGTGACATATGTAAAGTTAATCCAATTATATATGACTGGTTTATTTCTGTTGAAACAAATCCTTCTTGCTCTGCATCCAAGAACATTATTTTGGTTAATGTTGGATTTCTACTTGCTATGAAGTGCTAATTATGATACCATGAAGTGCTTTTTAGCTTTTGTCACTACAATGGATTCTTCTTCTACCTCCTCTTCTTACCATGGACACTCCCAAAGAGTCAATCCATTTCTTATTTCACAGTAAATAGCACAATTCATACATTTAAAGCTAGAAAGATATTTTTTTTCCTGTACAATTCGACAAATACCACTATAGAAGATTTGCTGAGAAACTGTGTCACTCATGAAAATTCCTAACAAAAATTCTGTTGGAATTCTACAGTATGTGCATTGAAAACTATATACTGTGGGGAGATTTGTGCTTATCTTCTCAAAGACAGGGTGCATTTTCTTTAAGACCTCTTATGTAAGACAAGGAAATTTCATGATAGGCCAGACATATTCAAATGTCATTTTAATAACAGCAGAGCTGGGAAACTTAAGAGAACTACCTAAGTCATCTAGGAAGTCATATTATATAATGTATGTATTTTCATAATGAGTTTTTGTATCAGCACATCTGTAACAAGGATGTTGAAGTACATGTATCAAAGCAGTAGCTTCCTTACTGAAGACTGTGGTTGTCTCTGCTTGTCCCAGTGAATACTTCTGAGCAAATTCTCCTGTATCATAACAATTTGAAAAAAAAATCTTAAGGACAGAAAGCAATATGTACACATAAATGGTTAATTTATGATGTGGCAAAAACCTGAGGTAATGTGCTGTATGTGTCAGCAACCTCATGTAGTTCAATCTGGAAAAAGGGTTCACAGATTGATGGCAACATGTGCAGGCTACATAAATTACTCAGGTTAATTGAAACTAAAAGAGATTCTGAGGAACTTTGTAAAGGTTTATTCAAGATAAGGGAACAGATGGCATGATGGCAAGTGAAGTTCATTATACTGAAGTGCAAGGAGATGCATTTTGGAAGGAATATTTTCAACTAATTGTAGCTACATTAATAATGGTAGTTGTCTTTATTAGTAAAAAATTTGTAAGCTCTTTTTTAATGTAACTGTAGTAAGTAATGGAAAATAGGTGAAAACTATCTATATTGCATGTCCAATAGAACAAGTCAGCTAACATACTGAAGCGTAGCAGAAGCAGATTGAATTTTTTAAAAAAGTGTAATGATTTTATGGTGGTGATAGTCAATCGTCTGAAGAAGAATATTAGAAGAAATATTAGTCCTAAGATAAGCAAAAACTTTACAAGAAAACAACGAACATATGAAAATGGACTGAAAGCTGCGACAAGAAACTACAGAGAGGTCTAAGAAGAGAGACATACAAAAAGAAGTGGAGAGAATGGTTACTGGACATCACTGATCTTTTCTCAATACAACATAAGAGAAAGGAAGACTGAAAGTCAGAAGATGCAAAAGCAGACAATGCTATCTGCAAACACAATGTCAATATGGAAACCCAGTTGACACTAAATAGAACACAACTTCATATGCAAGTTAACAAATGGCAGAGACAGTAGAAAAAGTTGCTACTATCAAAAGGAGTAGTCCTAGTCTTCTTATCCGTCTACATCTCTTTTTGTCCTCCTCTCATTCCTCAGGGATTAGTTTGCTTTCTCTAAATTGAATTGGCTAGTCACTGTCTGTGAATTTACTGACATGCAGAGGGGTCAAATAAATACCAGAGTGAGGGGAGTTGCAGAAAAGGAGTCACTGAGAGGCCTCTTTCAGCAGCTCTGAGCTGTTAGATTGGTTCAAACTATCTCATTATCTCAGATGAAGAAAAAAAGGATTATATACGTATGTAGGCAAAAAGCTATACTTTGGTTTATATTCTGACCATGATAGCTTGTTCTTCTTTTAATTTGTACATTTAGAAATAAATTTCTCATAGGATCTGTGTATTTGTTTAATGTGAAAAATCAGTTTTCTTTCATATTTTTGTGTCCACCAAATGGATCTTGTTTGAGTCTGGCACTTTTTGCTTTCCAAATCTTCATTGCCTTAATTGCACAAGTCAAATTTGGCGTAATTATACACTCAGTTTCATATACAACCATCTGCCAAAACTACCATCTGTAACAATTCAGTATTTAATATTGAGATGAGGAAAAGACTTTTAAATGTATTTTAATTGAGCTCTGGTTATATATTAAAGCCATGGCAAATGAGACATGCATTTTTTTTAAATAGGGGCATGAGTTGCTAGAACTCCCCAAATTTTATGAAATGCAGACATGTCTACCTCTTTCAAAGACAGTGAAGTTTCCATGGAACAACATCCTTGAAAGACACCTTTATACAGCACATCAACATTAGTAGGAAAAATCACTTAAAAGCATCCTCCCCTTTTAGGAATGCACAAGAATCCAAAATATATGTGTTTCTGATGAGGTAATACATTACGTAGATTTTTATGCTGAAGGAAACATTTTGAACTGTTACCTCTCCTTCACTAGATTTTTGTTTTCTTACCTTTTTTTTTTCGGACTTTATATAGTGTTTCAAATTCCTAAAATGGCAGCTCTGGAAATTTCCTTTCTTTAAAAATAAATGACTCAGGAAAGTAATTTCAGAAAGGACTTTTAAAATGAGCAATATCATGATACATTTTAGTAAACTACTTCAAAAAAAGTTGTTCTTCATTTTCTGCTGTGAAAAGATATGCAACTTGAATAAAATCACAGATATTTCAACATGTTTGTGTTTTCAATTTAGATTGAGAAATTTTAGAAGTGTTATTGCCTTTTTCTTGCTTGCTATCAAATTAATTGCTTTAAGACAAGGCATAATATATTGGTAATTCCATCTAGCCAAGGTAAATGACTTTTGCCCAGCACTTGCATTGTGTTATCAGCTTACTTAAATATTTTGAAGGTTAAAAATATAGTACCTGGATTTTCTTCATTCACAGAAATTTTAACTTGAAGGCCTCTAACATGAATCTCATCCATCAGTGTATCACTTCAGATAAAAATGGTTTTTGTACTTTTTAAAAGCAAGCATTGATCAAATACTTATTTGC